GTATGAAAAGAGGTGTTTTTTTGGTGGAACCTGTGATGGCCGGACTAGAGGGGGTTGTGAGTGGGTCAAGAATGAATCCGGACTGCCTTCTACCTGCATGTTCCTGCCATTGTGTGTCCGGGCTGATTCCACGCTGCCAATCCTGTTCTGCGTCAATGTTAGTATGTAAAGGCAAATGCTTGGAGGTAGCTGGGCGTCCTCTTGTGGTTGGTCCAAGGGTTCCTGATCGGACCCCGGTGGACCCAGCCGGTATACCGTGAAGTAGCGCGGACTCCTTAGTGGGTGTCCAGATAGTTGGCTGTCGTATCAAAATTTTGATAGGCATGCACGACTCGCTGTTCCGGTAGCTGTATGATTTCCGCTCTTAGGGCGGGGTTCGGCCTTGCCTATAAGTGTGATTATATCACACGATGTTGGCCTAATGGTTTATCACGTTGAATCTAGTCAACGTGGTTCATCCCGTTAACATACGGTGAATTACCGCATGAGGGGAAGGTGCCGAAGAATTACTCTTTGGCGCAGCATTTTTTGGTGATCTGAAGACAACTGTTAGAGTGGTGGACCAATAAAACTTGGCCTTTGCGCCTGGCATCTTTTAGAAGATGTTATTTGTGGCTTCATACCCGTGGGTACTTTATATGTTATGGAGCCCCTGGACTACTTAGGTGTAGGGGTACTGCAATTGAATTGATGTGGTTGGTGTGATCACGGGCGATTGGTCATACTTTTATGTTCTGGGGGGTCTCTTGACTAGACGCCTCCCTCATTGTTTCCGACACACGACTGGTCGTTTTATTTTGAGGATTCAGCGTTCTCTATTGGTATGCTTTGCCGTCCTTCTAGGAGTACCATGAATTTCACATGGTTGATCGACTGTGTGACTCGGGCCGAATAGGCTTGAGCTGCTCTTTGTCCGTTGACCGGACTAGGAGTTGCTGGACTTGGCACAAGCGTCCTTGACTTGACGTTTATGACCATTTCGCCGAGGCTGGAGAATGCCTCTTCGTGTATCCTTCTTACTGTCTTGGACCGTAATGATGTGTGGACATCGGGGTGTGTGTCTTGGGTTCTCATGCTGAGGTAGCCAGTTGTGCCGTGTATGCCCTTTGTTGGGGCTATTGAGTCTGTTCTTTTCGGTGGTCAGTACCTTGGTCCACCTATCTGCTAGCAGGTCTTGGTCAGCTTTAAGCTGTTCTTGCTTCCTTTGCAGGCTCCTTGCCGTGGCCATGAGCCATCGCTTGAAGCGAACTTGTTCCGCTGGATCTTCAGGCACGCCAAATTCGTCATTGTCGAGGCTTACCTCATCGTCAGAGGGGGGGTGTATAGTTGTCCCTCTCCAAGTATCCCATCGTGACCGGTCCAGCCTGCTTGAAGGTAGGTTGATCAGGGTTGTATTCCTCGTCGGCATCCTCCAGATTGCTTTCATCTCCGGGGCCGGTGTTGATGTGGCGGGGCTTGGAGCGGCGCCGAAGACGCCCGTGCTTTGCTTTTCCTCCTGAGGGGTTATCCTCCGTTGCCTCATCGCCATTGGTTTCCTTCGAAGTGTCCACCATGTATACATCGTATGAGGAGGTGGCTGTCCACCGCCTTGTGAGCGGTGGCTCTTGTGATTCTCCTGCATCGTCGTCCATACCGTCGATGTCTTCGGAGTCGAAGTCTAGCACGTGGTTAAATCATCGACCGTGGCGATGAAGTGGGTGGTGGGTGGGCAACGAATTCCTTCGTCGCCTGCTTCCCACTCAAGCCGGACATAGTTCAGCCCAGAGCCTCCTGACAAAGAGAGAGACTTTAATGAGTTCAGCGTGTCGCCAAAGGACGACTGCTGGAAGATGTCCGCATCGGTAAACTCCATTACCGGAGCCCAACCTGGCTCGACTGGCTCAAGGGTGTGCGAACCAGAACCAATAACCGGATAAGAGTCCGGGGCCCGGGGTTACAGGCTTCCACAGAGGTGATGTGTTTGGCTTCACCGCCGATGAGCGTGCGGCCTGCGGGGCAGGGTCCAGCCCTCCGTCCTTAGGCAACACAAACTGCTCCGGATTTAGATCCAAGGCTTCTGCCGGGGTGATATCCCGAGCTTCGTCCGACAACAGGTCTAAGCCGTGCTCGGCGTGACTGTTCGGTGCTCCTGGCGTAGGCCCAAATCCGTCGAAGATCAAGTCTCCGCGAATATCCGTTGTGCAGTTCAAGTTTCCGAACCTGACCTGGTGGCCGGGGGCTCAGCTATCGGTCTGCTCTAGATGGCCAAGCGAATCGGCCCGCAGCATGAAGCCGCCGAACACGAAGATATGTCCGGGGAGAAAAGTCTCTACCTGGACAGTGTTGTTGACGATTGAAGGCGCCATCAAGCCCTGCAGCGACGACACAGAGGAACTCTCAATGAAAGCACCAATGTCGGTGTCAAAACTGGTGGATCTCGGGTAGGGGGTCCCGATCTGTGCGTCTAGGCTGATGGTAATAGGAAGCAAGGGATACAGATGTTTACCCAGGTTCGGGCCCTCTCGATGGAGGTAAAACCCTACTTCATGCTTGATTAATATTGAAGATATGGGTAGTACAAGAGTAGATCTACCACGAGATCGTAGAGGCTAAACCCTAAGAGCTAGTCTATGATGGTATGATTATAATTGTGATGGGCCTTCTAAGGACCAACCTCTCCGATTTATATAGACACCCGAGAGGGCTAGGGTTTACATGGAGTTGGTTACAAGGAAGGAAACACAATATCCGGATCGCCAAGCTTGTCTTCCACGCAAAGGAGAGTCCCATCCGGACATGGGCCGAAGTCTTGAGTCTTGTATCTTCATGCTTCAATAGTCCGGACGATGTATACAGTCCGGCTGTCCGGATACCCCCTTATCCAGGACTCACTCAGCGCGCGCGCAAGTTTTCGCACGCTCCAGCGGAGGCGGGAAACAAGCGCGTGGGGGAAGCAATTGCGCGCATGCGGGAGATAGCGGTAGCTCGCGCGGTAGATTTGGCGCGCCGCTTCGCGCGCGCCTATAAAATGTGGCGCTCGCCACGCGCTCCACCACACTGCCATGTGCCCATTTTTCCCGCCTCCTTGCCGCTTCCACCGCTTTCTCGCCGCTTCCAGCTTCCCGCCACCACCCCGCCACCATGCCGCCGCGCCGCCGGGGATCTTCGGGCTACCGCGGCATACACGAGCGCCCCAACGGCTGGTACTACACCGAGATCCGGTCCGGCGATGTCCGGCTCAGCCTCGGCACGTTCGGGACCGCGCACGAGGCAGCCCGCGTGTATGACGCGGCGGCGTGGCGCCTAGAGAGGCCTCCGTCGCAGATGAACTTCCGTGACATCTACACACGCGAACAGGCGCAGGCCGTCACCCCTCTGCCTCGTCTTATCACGGACCAGGACCGTGCGAACCACCTTCGGCGGCAGCGCCGCCTCCTGATCGCCGAGGAGGACGAGCAAGCCATGACGGAGTGGCGCCGACGCCACCCGAAGGACGTCGCCGACGAGCGCGCCTACTGTGCGGAGAGGACAGTAAGGCACTGCACGGAGCCGGCATACCGGCGTCGACGGAATGCACTGGCCATATCGCAGTGCGATATTGTTGAACCAGGTGGGAAGTCGATCTTCGCGTCAAACGATGAACGTCGGGAGGACATATGGATCGATACCTCGGACAACACCACTGAGGATGAGGATGATGATGTGGACGACTTGGAGTAGTTCTAGCTGCACCGTAGTTTATCTAGTTGCACCGTAGTTTAATTTTATGTAGTTGCACTGTAGTTCTGTTTATCTATCTATGCTATGAACTTGTTTATCTATCTATGCTATGTGATGAACTATGTAAAATATCTTTGTATCGTTTTTTTATCTATGCTATGAGAATATGTATGCACCGTAGTGTCTGTGCGACAGCGTGCTGTGCATTTTAGCGCGCCTGCTGGAGCTACGCGCGCGCTGCATTTTTCGCGGCTGCTGGAGTCAGCGCTGCGCGCCGCGCCAAACCAAGCGATCGGCACGCTGCAAACTGGTTTTTAGCGCGTTGTGCGTTGGGCGCCTGTTGGAGATGCTATGAGGATGAAAAAAAATTCTATATGAAATCTAGTGCAATGGATTTCTCAAGAGACTTCACATAGGATTCAATCCTATGAATCAAACAATTAAATATAAAAATTACGAAGATTTTTAATCCTCCAAAGTTCTTACAAAAAAATCTCGCATCACTGTCAATTACAAAGCCCTATATGAAATTCTATACGCATTGTTTGTGGAGTACACAATTTTATACGTACTCAATTTTTTCCGTCCATGAGGTGCACAAATTTCAACAAATCAGTTGAGACAGGATTTATCTGTCGGAAGCTCCAAGCACTTGGTTATCCACATCACTGTCAATCATGTGGACAAGAAACACAGGATGCGAAATTCGTTACGTGACTAATGACTAAATCTGGCTCCTCGCCGTGCTCGGATCCCAGATCACGAATGGAGGACGCCTATGCCGTCGTCTACCTCGGCGTAGCTCTCGTGTCACTGCTCATCGTGCTCGCGGGCCGCAGGCGCTGGGGCGCGCGCCGCGATGGCGGCGACGGCCTGCGCCTGCCGCCCGGGCCGTGGCAGCTGCCGGTGATCGGGAGCCTGCACCACCTCCTCCTCACCGGGCAGCTCCCTCACCGCGCGATGCGCGACCTGGCGCGGCGCCACGGCCCGGCCATGCTGCTTCGGCTCGGCGAGGTGCCCACGCTGGTGGTGTCCTCCCGGGAGGGCGCGCGCGACGTGATGAGGGCCCACGACACGGCCTTCGCGACGCGGCCCCTGAGCGCCACCATGCGCGTGCTCACCAACGGCGGCCGGGACATCATCTTCGCGCCCTACGGGGACTACTGGCGGCAGCTCCGGAAGATCTGTGGCCTTCGTCGCGGCTCGCCGCGCGGCTCAGCAGCGCCGTGCGCCGCGCTCGGGAGTGCCGCGACACCGTGTACGGCATCCTCGACGGCGTCGTCCAGGAGCACCTGGAGAGGATGGGCGGCGGCGGAGGCCACGACGAGGACCTGCTCTACGTGCTGCTGAGGATCCAGAAGGAAGGTGCGCTCCAGTTTCCGCTCGACATGGACGTCATCAAGTCCGTCATCTTCGTAAGTGTTCTCGTCCAGGTGGCTTCCGTGATTATCTTTGCAGCAGCAGGTGCTATCGTGATCATGTGACGTTTTTTGTTGACGAACTACCTATTCAAAGTGGTTGAAACGTGTACGGTTTTATCAAAATGTCCATAATAAATGTCATAAGTTTAAACTAATGTTAAATTAATCTTACTATTTTGGATTGAAGGAAGTACTGTGTAGTAATGTTTAATTTTGTTTCCCTCGATTCCAGTTGTCCTGAAAAATTCTCATATTTTGTGTAGGACGTATTCGGCGCTGGCAGCGAGACATCAGCTACAACGCTGGAGTGGGCCATGGCGGAGCTGGTCAAGAACCCCAGGGTCATGCAAAAGGCAACGGCGGAGCTGCGGCAAACTTTCCATGCCCGTGGTACAGTGACTGAGCATGCTCTAAGAGAGCTCACTTATCTACACCTTGTCATCCGAGAGACGTTGCGATTACACACACCCCTACCGTTGTTGCTCCCGCGCGAGTGCCAGGAATCATGCCAGGTGTTGGGATACGATGTGCCACGTGGCACGCAAGTGATCGTCAATGCCTGGGCGTTGGGCCGCGATGAGCGCTACTGGCCCGGCGCGCCTGAGGAGTTTCGACCAGAACGGTTTGAGGGGGAAGCGGCGTCGGACTTTGGGGGTGGCGACTTTGCGTTCCTTTCATTTGGCGCTGGCCGGCGGATGTGCCCTGGGATGGCGTTAGGCCTCGCCAACGTGGAGCTCGCACTCGCGAGCCTGCTCTTCCACTTCGACTGGGAGTGCTCAGGGCCAAGCTCGGAGCTCGACATGACTGAAGCATTCGGCCTCACCGCGCGGCTTAACAACAAGCTTCTATTGCGCCCTGTTCTCCGTGTGCTTGTTCCTAGGGTCTAGTTGATATATAAACTGTAAGAATTGGGTGCATATAGTAAAGTTGTAACTATGCTCACACCGGAGTTAAACTGCATAGCCTTCTGGTGTAGCATATAATAACTGGTACAATAAACCAATTCTTGTAAACATAGAAGCATCAGTAGAGTACATGTCATACGGAGATCGGTTGGTTTTGATAAATTCGGTTTTGACGAGCATGCCGATGTTCCTTCTATCCTTCTTTGAGGTACGGGTAGGGGTATGGAAAAGACTTGACTTTTATAGATCCCGATTCTTTTGGCAAAGTGATGAGGCCAAGAAGAAGTACAGGTTGGCTAGATGGGATATTATTTGCAGACCAAAAGACTAGGGCGGGTTAGGAATCGAAAGTTTAGAGGTCAAAAATAGATGTCTGCTTAGCAAGTGACTATACAGAATATCTACTGAGACCAAGGCTATGTGGATACAAATCTTGCAGAATAAATACTTACACTCTAAGAGTTTGGCCCAAGTCACCGTTAGGTCAACGGACTCACCCTTCTGGAAGGGATTAATGAGGACGAAAGCAACTTTCTTCCAATAGTGAAATTCCTAGTTGGTAATGGTAATACTACTAGATTTTGAGAGGATACATGGTTTGGGGAGACGTCTTTGGCTTTGCAATATCCATCCTTATATAATATTATGCAACGTAAGGAGGATTATGTTGCCACAGTATTAAACTCGATACTGCTTAATACCCAATTTAGGAGATCCCTAGTAGGGGAACGTTAGAATGCTTGGTTGCACCTGGTTCATAGGTTGATGGAAGTTCACCTATCTGATCAGGCGGATACAATTCGCTGGAAGTTAACCACGAAGGGAATCTTCTTAGCGAAATCCATGTATTCAGACCTAAGTGATTCCGGGCCATTGTCGAGGTCATTGCACATTTGGAAGATTAAAATTCCGCTTCATATTAAAATATTCATGTGGTTTGTCCATAAAGAGGTTATTCTAACCAAAGATAACTTTGCAAAAAAGGATTGGATTGGTAACTCTAGGTGTTGTTTTTTATCAAAATGAAACGATTAAACACCTCTTTCTCGAATGTCCTCTTGCACAATTATTATGGCGATCAATTCATATAGCCTTTAACATTTAACCTTCAAGGAGCATACACACGTTGTTTGGGACGTGGCTTAATGGAGTGGGCGTACATTTAGCTAAACATATTCGAATAGCAGTATGTGTATTATTTTTTGGATATATGAAACACTAGAAATGATATGATTTTTAATGAGGCACAATTCAACAATATTTTGCAGGTTATCTACAGAGCTACAACTTGGATCCATATATGATCCTTACTCAGTCATGCGGACTTTCAGGGAGCCTCTGGTTATTGGGTGCAACCGTTGGGAGACGGTAGCATGGGCTACCTTCAGCTGGTTTGACTGGCGAGTTAATAATAGGCTAGGTGTGTAGGCATCGTAGCTTATTATTCTATCGCCGGGTGTGGCGCTTTTCAGATTTATTTGCTTTTGACTACTGCTCAGTTTATGAGCTTTTTTGGACCTTATGACCTTTATTTAATAATATAGCTGCATGCATCGATTGATGCAGAGGCTGGAGGTATTCCTCCTTTTCAAGAAAAAGAGTAGACACCATCGCCAACAGAGATTGGAACCACATATCTTCCTTGCTGCATGGGAGGCACTGTCTCGGCTCTTAGTGTGGAGCCCTATTTGTCTCGATTGATATTCTCTCTCACGTGTATAATGGCATGCTCATAAGCAATCTCTATCTCTACCTTTTTTTTTAATAATAAAGAGAATTGAGTTTCTGTCGTCCGTCGTCGCGCGCGATTTTGCATAAAAGCCTCTCAGTTTATATGAAATTAACCCGCAGTCCCTGTTTTAGTAAGTCTTTTTGTAACGTTACATTTTGCAGAGAACCCCCTGTATTCATTAGATTTGCATCCGCTGTCCTCGTAGTCTTATCCATTTCTCTGGAGATCGCGATGGCGACGGTGACGGCGACGGCTTGAGGGCTGCGGGGACGGCGCGGCGAGGAGGGGCAGGTGCTGCGGAGACGGCGCGGCGAGGAGGGGCAGGTGCTGCGGAGACGGCGCGGCGAGGCGGGGCAGGTGCTGCAGAGACGGCGCGCGGCGAGGCGGGGCAGTGGCGTCGCGGGGGAGGATGGAGGATGCCGGAGCAGAGGACGACAGCTCCCGCCGTCGCTGCTGTCCGCGCACGCCCGCGTGCTCGCCTCCGTCCACGCCCGCGCCGGAGCCCAGGAATGGGGAACGGGGCGAGGCATTGCGGCGGAGGACAATAAAGCGGCCGGCGTGCTCGCTTTGGGCAAGGCGTCGCGGCGAGGACGACATGGCCGTCGGCGTGCTTGCTTGGAAGGATGGAGGCCGCCTCGCCGGGGCGCGGGAGCGGTAGCACGGCGTCGGGGCCGGGGCAGTGGTTTGACGGGCGACGCGAAGGAGGTGCTGTCCTGGCGTCAGCGACCAGCGCAGGTTCATCCCTCCCTCCATTTTCTTTCACATCCAAGCAATTTGAGAATCTAAGGGAGGGAGAGATGGCGCCATCGATGAGTGGATACAGGGGCGGCGGCAGCGGCGCCGTGGCTGAAGGTGGGGAGGCACTTGAAGGGATGAGCTTCTGCTTTAGGGAGAGAGCAGAGGGCATGCTGGCCGCTGCTGCTTGAGAGATAGAGATAGGTGAGGAAGAGAGAGAGCAGAGAGATGAGCGATAAAGAGCAGAGAGAGACGCTAATTGCCACATATTTAGATTGAGGGCTTGCTGGATCTGCTGCTGGTTGCTGCTGGTAGAGAACAGAGGAGAGACAGAGTTCGATGCTGATCTGCTCTTGTGGAGAAAAATAAGAGAGATAGATGAGGAAGAGAGAGAAAGCAGAGAGATGATAGAGAGGGAGGGAGGGACACTGATTGCTGCACATTTAGATAGATGTATGATGCTACTAATTGATGCACATTTAGATAGAGAACAGAGATGTAGCTTGCTACTGCTTGTTGTTGTTATTGCTACAATCTCATCAATCAATCTATATCTAATAATAAATAGTGCCCAATTTATATCCAGATATTTTGAATCTATCATCAAGGGAAAAGACATCACTGAACCCTTTGGATTCTAATTGCAAGGTTAAATAATTTTGTGTTTTGTGTGTGTTCTAACTCTCTGGGATAATCTGCAGCTATTTGGCTCATCGTCATGCCGCAAGTTTCGAACATAGCTCTATACAGTCTCACCGTTCTACCAACTCCGCAGGCTGCCCGTATTCCATAAGCTGTCGTACAATCTCGCCGTTCTACCAACATCAATGGACCACCCATGCTCCATGTGAGGTATGCCTGATCTCATGCACATCTAAATTCGGTTCTGTCATTTTGAAAAAGACATATCTTTCATGTGTGTCTGCAACCACAACTGCTATCATCATCACCTTGCCGATATAGGGCCAGTCTACACTATTTTGGCCTGATAAATTAGCCACAAAGTAGGCTATCTTGAGAAGAAATATATGCACACTAGAGAGTACTTCATAGTGGCGCATGGTAGTTCGAATGTCTGGAGAAAGTACCTACCCAGTATTGTACGTGAAAGAGTTGACTGGAGCTGCTGCAAGATCTTCTGCTTTGTACTCAGAAAGTTTTCTTGAGTTCACTTTTCCAAAGCTAGCAGCAATACTGGATGCTGGACTAACAATCTGGCATAAAGAGGGAGAATAATATATCCCATGTTCTTTGTTACCTGAGTCAGGGCTCGGCCTATTCTGTGCATTTTTTATGATGCCATGTTCTGGCATTCATTATCTGTTATGCCTCATGCGTGTGTCTTAAGCCTACTAATAACATTTTTGCCCAATGGTAAATCTACTGAACAAACTCCTGTCTTATTCCCATTGTGTGCCTTAAGGTTCATCTATTCATGGTTAGTTTTCCTTACTGTACAAATGTCATTTCCTTTTTGTATATTTTTTATTCTTTGTCCTTTACGGTAACATAGACCATGCTCACATGGTTTCATAGTTCAAGATTTCTTCGTGAGTGCCATTCGAGGTCAGAGTAAATATTTTGGCACAGTAAATACTGAAGGAAGTGTCATCCAATTTCGTCTTATAAAGCTATAACAGTTCTGATACATATTTTTTTATCTGATTAACTGGCACTTCTGCACCACCATAATAAGCAGTGTAGATCTGCCTCTTTGTTTTCAAGTAATGTGAGAACTTCTATCCTTCTATAACAAGCGTGGTAACTTCTTTATCTTTGTTCTAATAAATACTGTATATTGTTAGTCGATGAAAGTCTACTTATCAACTTTGTTAATCTGACTATAGTCAATCTAGAGGGTGCTTCTTTAGCTTCAGTATTAATTAGTAATATTGGCAGTTCTCTGGAGTACTCTGGTCTTTTTCCCTTCATGATTGCTTAGTTGCGTTTTTTTGCTTCTGACTATACTGCTCTGCTGCAGACGATAGCGTCTCAAAGTGGACTTTTAGATCATTTGATAAACGTTTGGAAATTCAAGCCTGGTCCTGTTCTGCAACCTGTGATGTTTACTTCTTAGTGGACTTTAAGTTTCAGTCACCCAATATCGCCAGGTAATATAACAAGGCTATTGTTTTGATCATAATCAAGAATGTCTGCTTATCGGAAAGTTAACCTTTCTCACCCTGCAAGCAACTGCTACCATTATTGCTTAGAAGGGGCAGCTTAGTGATACAATCTCTTGACTATAGGGCAGTTAGTGATTGCCATATTTGTTGAATTAAACTTTCACCTATTAGATCAGTTTACACACTTTGAAGTCTACTTAGTGTACCTCTAAGGTTGTCCTTCTGCAAAGGTATATCACCTACAGATGATCCGATTTTTCTTCTTCTAGACCCCCCTGTGTGTATATATGACAGACATTGTCTTTCTGATTTATTTTTCCAGTAGATGATTTTGGAGAAGTTTTTGAATCCATGCCTTTTTGCTATACTATTTTTTTGGGGTAATGAAA